TGAGAGAGTTCACTTTATGCTTGAGGAATCGACATGCGCTATGCGTATGCACGTGTATCGCGAGGAGTGCAATATTATTTACGAGACTTCGATTTCCTTGAGAAAATAATAGCAAATCCTCCTCATTCAACTTAATTAGAATAAAATTATAGATATTCAGCGATCAATATAATCGAGAAATTTTGTTTGCGATCTTGATTCGATCATAATTTTTGTGACGAATTCTTGTTATAGAAAAAGTGAATCTTTGAATATCTTCATCTTTGGCCTTATAATAATGTTTAGTTAATGATAGTATCGTATCACATATAATTTTCAAGCATCGATAATAATAACAATAATGAAACGTTACCATATCCCGCCTTTAAATGAAGCTAAAATCAATAATTTTAACGACTAAATGTAAACTATAATTATGCAAATACATGTGTTTAATTCCAGTACTTAAACTCATGTCAGATATTTGCTCGCGGTTGCAAAAGCAATTTCATGACACACACTTCGGAGCCGTATAATATCAGTCGTTCATGGTAGAGCATATGCGTGTAATTCACATAAGCAAATGTGTACCTTCGTATCTCTACTATTCAAGCGAGCAAGACTGCTTTGAGACGAAATTGACTCAAGCCCTTCTAGAAATAAACACGTTGTTTCTCAAATTGTTTTTTTAAATAACAGAATAAAATATATTAACTGTTTATCGAAATAAGTAAAATGGCAAGCTCTAAATGGATAGCAATAGCAACTGTTTATCGAAATAAGTAAAATGGCAAGCTCTAAATGAAATCGAAATTTTTATACGTTTTTGCAGATAATATTCGTATTCATAAGTTCATTTAATTTACGTGCACGCTTCGATACATATATTAATTTAAAAAACGCATTACGTTTCTACTACCGCTAAACTGTAAATATAGCTCCAGTGGACGCACATTTTCACACATTATAAACACATTAAATTTAATGATAAAACTATACACATTAAAAACATTAAATTGAATGGTAAAACTATTATCTAAAAACACATTTCTTCTCGTGAATGTGAGATATGTAATCTGTAATTGTGTGAAATAAACTTACTAAAATTAATAATAAGAAAAAGAATGGAAATAAGAGAAATAGTTTGGACATATTTGAACTTATAGAAGTATATAATGGTAAAAAAATTAATATGTAATAAAAAAATATAACTTAATATAATAAAACTTTTCAAATAAGGAAAAATTAAAAAAAAATGTACTATCTTATTCCACCTTTATAAAAAAATGAAATATCTTAAGCGGCGCAAATAAGACGTTATATTCAAATATCTTATTTCGATCTAATTTTCTCTATGCTTATACATGTAATATCTTGTACAAATAAACACACGGCTTTTTTCTGATAAATATAAAATACTATATCATTAAATATTAATTCGCGCATACACTGTGTGTGATATTATGTTATCCGAATTATCATTTTACACACAGAAGAAATAAAATATTTTTTCATGATCCCATTACAATGTAATTATATAATTCTCTCTATACATTTTTCGTATAATGAAAAATTTGAAAAAATATGAGCTTTACAATATATACAGTTAAATTTTTTAATTGTGTCTCAATTTTACATAAAATTAAAGATTAAAAAAAATGTTTGTGTCTAGTTATAATGTCATGTAAATTTCTACAAAAGAATGAATAATAATATAAAAGTAATGCTGTAGAATAATTAATCGAATAAATTTTGCGTCGTAAAATTTGATAAAATTAAAACACGCATAGATAAATAGTTGAGTCATGCGATATAGAAACTACCTGTTAGTTGATAGTTTATAGATTGACACTTTGCTTCTTTCGCGAGTCTCGAGAGAAGAATACTTGATATTAACGACATGATATGGAAAGAATAGAGAGAAGCTATTGGAGAGATCAGGTCATATTGATTTTTGCAACATCTGTTATTTTCTTCATGAAAGCGTCGCTATCTACGTTTCTTACAAAAAATGTAACAGACAAAGAGACAAAATTAAAGGAACTGCCGAGCTTAGAATTTCCTGAGGAACGAAGAAGCGTAATTGCTCGATCTTCCGGCTCGAGGATAATCATTCTGCTTCAAACAGTAGCAAGAAAAGATAGATCCCATCCTCAAAAAGTGTAATACACTCGACCAAAAAAAACTGCAAAATTTTGCGTCATTAACAAAATTAAAATCGCTATATTTATGTTTCGTAGTAAGCAAATTTATATATTACAGGTATACATAAAGAAGAATAATGTCAATTGGATTGAAAAATCTGAAATCACCCATTCATTTGTAAGCCGATTAAACTGTTAAATCTAATATACATCAATCTAATACATCTCTTTCGTTCGTTATTTAATAATCTAGCACAACAATATAATTATTATGAAAAAAAATTTTCGTATACGAGAAACTTTAAATTTTTTTTTCAGAGAAATATAAATTATGTTTCGATAATCAATTGTGCGAAACTTGGTCGATATATAGTCAATCGCTCAAATAATGAAAATTTCAAGGACATTGTATGAAATATTTAACGAGCCAATTTAACGTTACGTAGCTCGTAAGCGAAAGAGGATATATCTGTAAAAAGTTTAAAAGAAATAAACTTATTGTTAGCGAAATTGCGGATCTATTACGGCTCTCGTCGAGAGAGAATTTGATTCGATGCGCATTTCTTATAATTGCAAAACTAGTATTGATTTATAATAACTTGATATAAACATATATATATCGATAAAATAAATGGAATAAAAAAATATAGGACGATCCACATGGCTCAAAGCTCAATCAAATTATATTAAAATAAATATATGATTATATAAAAGATTGATTACAATTTTTTTTTATCTCAGATACATATTGTATTATTCCATGACTGTTCAAAATATCGTCTGTCTCTCGTAGAGGATAAAGCATAATTTTCCTTTCCGTACTATTAACTGTACAGCCATTAATTTAGCGCGTTACCCACAATAATCAATATACACTTGGCGCGACCACTGCGTCACACTGTAATTGCCATTTTTAGAAATTTTGTTCCAGTTTGGCAAATTGGAAAGTTCGCGGATATCGATGCGCCGTGCTCGATTTTATCCTTTCCGCTATGCAGACACAACCGCGGAAAATTAATCCCGATAGCTCGCACGAGCCACGCTCGACTGTGACTGATGAATGAAATCCGGGGATGGATCCGGGGTGATCGGCCTTATTTCACGTCAGCCCCGTCCAGCGCAGCACCCACGAATCCTCCTCGATCATACTCGCGTACCCCCTTTGCCTCCACGACCTTTCAACTAGTCGACAACCTCCCTTCTGCAACGCAGCCATCTCCACCATTGCTGCGAGGCTGTACAACACAGTCCGCCGCACCATTGACGTAACTCTTCTGACGTCACACGTGGAGTTAGCACGGTGCATGCTACCCCTGCATCACCCACGACGGGGACAATGTCCTTTGTTTCGCTTCTTCTTGCGGGAGTTTCTTGTTTCTTTTTTTCGCACTCCTATTGGAGCACCGATGTTTGCTAATAATTCTTGTTTATTTTTGATGATCGAGAAAACGTCTTGTTTAAATTAAGGTTATTATTGAACAGAAAGACACACTTAAAAGATTGATGGCATATAAATATGACGACATATATTCGATATATTAATTACATTATGTCAAAAACATGTTAACGATTGTTTGATGAAATAGGTATGCATCGTCTATAATTTTTAGAGAAATTATTTCTAAATATTGTCGGATGAAAATGAGAGACAAAGTCATGTTGACTCGTGCTTAATTTTTCACGAGTAAATAAATGATCATTAAAATTCTAATTTACCGATAAGATATAAAATGATTTTTACTGCTCATTAGAATAAGATTCTACGACAGTTACAATTTCACAGATAATTTTGTTTTTAATTTCTAAATAATAATAGTCGCATGAAAATGAACGAAAGTGATTATGACAATCATCATGTTGACTCGTGCTTAATTTTTCACGAGTAAATAAATGATCATTAAAATTCAAATTTAACGATAAGATATAAAATGATTTTTATTGCTCATTAGAATAAGATTCTACGACAGTTACAATTTCACAGATAGTTTTCTTCTCAATTTCTAGCACATTATTCGCATAACGATAGAAATGCAAGAACGCGAAAACTTTAATCGGTTGTCCTCTATATATTGCTCGTTACTTCCCACGTCTTTGTATTTCTTTTACGCCCCATAAATTTGCGGTAACCGAAATCGGTACTTCTTTCTTTCTCTTTCTGTTTCTATCGTCTTCATCTCGTTCCAGTTACCGAACACATACTCGCTGCAACTTAGTTGCACAAAAAAGTGTACAATAACTGGAATAGCAAGATTATCAAGTTTCTTTTTCTCTGCACAAATCGTGAGTTAAACGCTGCAACTTTCTCGTGGAATTTGGGGCGTTGACTAATCATATCGCGGAAGATATTAAATTCCTTGGAAAAATTACGTCATCGATCGTTGAAGCGATCGTTAATTTGCCCTTTTCTCGAATAAAGAAAGAATCGAAGAAAATTCAATTCAATTCGAGTAAAATATTTATTAATCACAGATTGTTTTTAAAAATTTGAAAATTTCCTGTTACGTTTTTCAATTTTTAATTTGCAAATATAAAAGCGTTCCTGCAATTCATCCTTTCAACATTTTAATAAAATTTGATCGCGGTTTTAATTCATCAATTTGCTATTAGCTCTGTATATAGTGCTTAACTCGCGGTACCAAAGTTCAGATTGAGTTTCACCTCAGATTGAATTGCTACTCTTGAACTTAGGACCTATCTTTTTCATTCCTCTCTATTATTCTTCAATATTCCATCTCCTTGAATTTAATATTCCACTTTTATCAGTTCATTCGGTAATTTTATCGTTAGATTGATTTAACGTATATATTTTTTTCGCTTCTTTACATTTTACCGTACAACGTGTACATAAAAATTTATTAAGTCTCATTTCCTTGCTAGGTGAAGAACTGTGGATTGGTGTAATAAAACCTCGGCCCCAGGAGTAGCCCGGGGGTTACCCCGGGGACCTTGGGGAAGCGATCGCGCGAGGACGAAGTGGCTGAGACCGACGAAGGATACGGGAGGCGGAGGAGGAGGCCGCTATGAACGCCAGCGTTAACGTTGAGAGGAACTCCTGGCGGCTGCCTCCCGATGAGACCGTCCAGGTCGCCGATCCCCGTTCAAAATCAGCCCAGGTAAAAGAGGTAAATCGCTCAACCGGCTCAATAAGTGATCCCTTTCCCAATCGTCGAATATTTCTTCCGTGGACTACGATCAGGTTTAAATGCATGTAAATATATGTTTGATGGAAGTCAATAATCACCCTAGTGTGGTATCGGCTATTAATTTAAACATTTACAAAAAGTTGAAGTTGATTTCGACAGAAAAAAAGGAATTAACATCTTGCACTGTGTGTTAATATTTTTGGACACTATCTCTTACGCTAGATTGAAAAAAATCTAGATAAAATTGAATGTTAATGTTAGTAATTATCAATGTACTAGACTGTTTAATACCAAGCCCCCTGTGATAATCTTTTCATAGAGTACCCAAGAGTAGCTTTATTAGATGTGATGTAGACACATTTAGATGTAATGTGTCTTCAATATAGAAATGTAATAAATGTTCAAGTGTGAAATGTATGTGTGGACATGTATGTTGCACTTGGTTTAATAATCACAAACATCCACAGAAGTTTCAAAATGACATTTGGTAGAAGTGTAATAAATATTAATAATATTAATATAGGACTGTATGAAGATTAAAGCTCTTCGCGCACATGTCCACAGGTGTAGTAGAATTATTTGTCGTTGAGTATCAGTACTTGTATAAGCGACCACTCGGTATAATAGTTCAAATAGCGTAGTTACGTCGTGCACAAACTATACGCGGTATTATAACGAATATCGTGCGATAATAAGATAGCGAGCCAATAGACGCTAGACATTTACGCTGTTAGGTTTCTATAAATTCAGTTTTTTTTTTGTAACAAATTTAATCTTCTTGCTGTCTTTTTGTAGAAAAAATTGTGATAAAATTAGAAAAAGATGAAATTTACAATTATCTTGCGACATTCATGTAATATTTGAATAATTATCCGATCGATACTCGGACTTTGAATTGCAAATGACCACGTTAAAGGAAACGTCAGTTATGTTTGTTGTTTGTCCATGATGAAATGCGAAAAAACATCTTGACTAGAGTTTAAATAAATGATCAAGTCTCATTAAGTTGACGTCAACGTTTCCACAAGCATGAAACATGGCATGCAATAACGTACATCAACCCAATCATTCGAAATAACAGAGTGAGAATTAAATGTAGAGTGTGTGCTCATTAATTGTGTGATTATAAAAGAGATATAAGTCACATTTTTCCTCGTACAGTGAATTGTGTTTATGATGCCCCGAAAAATCTGCATGAGTGTCTCTTCGAAGCACGTTCCGTCTTGTTACGTAAAACACTTTCTTTATCCGTTTGATGGCTTTTTCCTTCTAGTTTATGAGCACTTACGAGTCCTAACAAAATGTTATTAAAATTTCATCTACTTTTCTTTATCTTCACGTTAACATGCAAAATGTGTATAGTTTAATTATATTCAAATTAACCGGCTATTCCCTCAAAGTTGAACAAAGTTGATTCTATGATTTTCACGAAACGACTGTTTACGTTCATTAAAACTATTACGTTTCATTCTTAATGAGAAACAAAAAAAGTTTATTTAATCGATAACTAGTTTTAATCAGTTGATTCGTCAACAATTTTTTAATAAGAAATTATACATCGATCGTTTCGTTTTGTATGCGATTTTCGTAGAATTCAGCCGATACCTAAGAGTAAACAAATTTATCATTCGCCATGTTGGCGAACGAAAAATAGAAAGACAGAATTGACAAGAACAAGAAGCACATAGCAACAGAGGGACTCTGACGACAGAATCGGGAAACTCCTGTTAGCTAACGACATACACAAACATAGAGTAACTTGATTATTGAATTATCTGATAACACGCGCCTCGAATCCGTAGCTAACGAGTGAGAAGGACAGAAAATGAAACGACTACATTTTATCTTTTTGATATGCGCATGCACGTGCACACATATGCTATACGTATAAAAAAAAAAGCATATCTAGCCAATTCTTAGCAAACCATTGCTGTAAAATGCCAGCAATGTCATTTTATTCGCTCATTTCTACGAATAGTCATCGTTATCTACTCGGGTATGATATTGGCTCTCGAACTGTCACCTTCAATAAACGTTACTCGAATTAAACGTCACTCGAGTCTTGATTAAAGACGCTTTGTCCAACGTACCGAAACATTTTGCGATCAATGGCGATATTCAGCGTTTCGATGGTTACCTAACTACTATGAAACGCTCCACATATATTAATGCGCGCGTTGTCATTCTAAAGGAAGGATAATGCAAATTCTCAAAGATAAATGTGAAAACGAGTTTCCCTGAAATATTTAACGGTTAAAATACGCTCGGCGTCACTTTAATTTGAATGGACGCTCGTGGTGGAAAACCATTATACTCTTGAGGAAAACCACCGCGTTGAAACTGGCTCTAGTTTCCGTAAGTTTAGTACACATACTACTTTCTAGATCCGTTATTGTATCGCGGCCAACACGTAGGGAAATCCTCCCTTTGACTTCCGTTTCGCAGTTGCCGTTTCTCAGACTGCGGTCACATCTAAAACCGCTTTGCTCCATTTGTCATTACGTCAAAACTTTCGCGAAATTATTTCCAACCAAATACATGCATTTAGAATTAATGTCCACTTTAATAATTTGATAATTTAAAAACAGATAATTGTTAGGTGGATAGTGTATGTCATCTATTTAAATTTCCTGTTCGAGTAAGATAAAAAGGGTGAAAAGAACATGACAGAAACATCCTCTCCTGCTTTTAAAAAAACCTCGGTACAATTTCGAACGTTGTTAGTCTCGGAAAATGGACAAATTGTCAGGTTCGCATAAATTCGATCTGCGGAATTAAGCCAGGGACACAAGCTTTTGCATAGGCACACAACTATAAGGAAATTGATTGATCCACAAGTGTACACATAAGAAAATGAACCAACCAATTTTCTTATGCTTATGTGGCTTAGGCAAAAGTCTGTGGTCCCCGCTTTACATTTGCCAATCGGAATTGTTCGCGCGTTATCGCATCATCGATCGTTTCTCGCGAGGCGCGGATCGATTGCGAGAAACATCAGTCGTCGCCGATCAGCCGCGCGATATTTTGACACGTGGTGCACTGACGCATATGCATATGACGTGCGCGCATTAGCGTTCACTATTTTATATATATATGTATGTATATTAATATATAGATATACATATAGAGGAAGAATATATACAGAGAGAAGGAGAGTTGAAATGTGGGCGGCAATAGGCTGAAATACTCTTGGCAGAAATGCGCTCAGCAGTCCGGTCAGCGTATCTGTGTCTCCTAAACGGATGAATTAATTATAAGTGTCGAGTGTAACGTATTTATTATTTGTGCCGCTGTGAATTCAAAATAGTGATCGATAATTGTCTGTAACGGAACCAATTTCGGATTTTGCTTTCGCGACGGACCGAAAAACAGGAAGAAGCAGCCATGGCTAACACCCCCGTTAATCTTTCGGAAGATAAGCGCAATCAGTTTTATCGCTTTTAAAACTTGGGCTTTAATCAACAATTTGGTCACTGCCCGGCTATGCTTCAAATTTTCTCTACTATTACAATTGTGTCCATATATGAGCAATTGCTTACACGCATACACATATGCACAAAATTCGCAATAGCTTTCGCGTTATATAATTTAAAGGGTTTGTAATATTTTCAAGTATATTTAAAATATTCTTCAACAGAATATAATAAGTAGAATAATAAATGTGCGGACAACTTTTGTAAAAACGATGTGATATTTGGCACTGATAGAGCTTCTCGCAACGTTCCAATTTTCTCACTTTTATAACTGTGTTGTACTAATTGCATTATTATTAATAATTGTACCAATTGTTTGCCGCGAAATTTGCAACTCAATTATTAATGACATTTTGCAATAATATGACAAATTGTTAACCGTTATTAATGACATTTTGTAATAATATGACAAATTGTTAACCGTTAATTATTAATGATACGTTGTGCAAAAATTGTACAATTTTATATAAAACCGCACCCCACACACACAGTCCGCATGTAATTGCACAGCTTTATTGAAAACGTCGCGGCGAAACTTTGTATCGATAGTATCGTATAGCATTATCGAAGCTGTAACAGTAATAACGCTCATATTCCATGTCTATATGTACCTCTACATGTACCTATCTAGCTATCCGATGACAAAGCGGTAGATTCAAAACGATAAAATCACGCCGAGGCATATTAAATTTTCAGAGACGCCTTAGTTCGTAACCGATCGTACAGATCTCACGACAAATATTGAAAAAGCCCGAAGGAATTTACGCCATTTGATCATCGGCAACTGGAGACTGTAAAAATTTCGTTACTGCCATTGACAGCTTATTGCCAGAGGAAAGAAGCAAACATTATTGTTTGATCGCGTCGACAATGATACGCTATATCTCCGATACAAATATAATGCTTTATGGATATAAAAGCATTACGATAAAAATATGTCGTCAAAATTTTATATGCGAAAGCAAATCTGCATGTTTCTCGTATGCTACGTGAAATTTCGAGAAACAAAATTGAAAATATTGTAACCGCAAACACGTGCAGCGATAAATGGGCTATTTCAACGAGTTCGTATGTGACAACTTTATTTATCGTATTGTTGCAGCTCACTACACAGCACGATAGAATGTTCAAAAATCCTCATGCCGAATTATCGCGATCGTTTCCATAGACATTTCCTTTGAATTAATTGCAGTTGTATTCGATTTGTCTAGTTGTATATTCGATATGCAAACGAGTACATTTTGTTTAACAAATTTCGAATTTCGTTTGCAACAGGGACATATTATGCGATAAATTGCGATTAATTGCGCGTGTATATAATAGTTTCTTTAATATTTCTAAATTTTTGCAGATATTTCTTTCACACGGGAAAATGTGTGCAAAAGTCATGTGTCATAAAAATTAAACATATCTTTGTCTGTAAAGTATTATTGTACGAAATGGTGTGAGTATTTGTCAAATAATGTGTTAGCGAGATTATAATGTAAATGTAGATATCAACTCGCAAAGTCTAATGTTTCGAGGCGAATTTATATAGTCATTCCATATAACTCGCGTGCACGCTGCGTTTTGAATGCAAAGCAGCGACAAATCGATCGACGGAACAAAAAGAAGAAAAGAATGAGTCGTATTTCGAAAAAGATATTTGCGAGGAAATGGGGAATTATTCGAACAAGAGATCGACAATTATTTATCCGGATAAACAGGTCGTCCAAAAACGATTATGGTAGCATAACGGCAGCCAATCGGAGCGGCAGTCGATCGTTTCCAGTTGTATAAAGTAAAGTCATTATCGAAGACAGATATCCGAGGGAAGATGGAAGATTATTTCGAGATGATCATTTTAAATTATATCATTTTATATTCCAGATAGAAAATGCCTTGCTTCGCCATTGGTAGCTTAGGCAATCGCAGATATTTTCCCATTTTCGTGACGCTATTGATGATAATGTGTGAAAATTGAACGCGCAACAATTATTATTTTATCAGGTTTATTGTAATCTAAATATTTACGCACACGCATTTTTTTCTAACATAAAGTTGATAATCTGTAAATTATAATGAAAATTAATTAGACAAAAATACTTCAACATGATTTAATTATTCAATAATCAAATCAAAATCATCTCAAAGCATTATCCTTTATTTTTTTTTTGTTTCGAAAGATGATATTGGGTCGATCAAAAGTTAAGAATAGTCTCATCGATGGATATTGCAAGTAGCGTTTCTATGTTTATCTAAAGTGAGTTTGCATTCGCTTAGAACACGCGTCGAACTATTCTAACAGGTAAGGTATATATAACGATCCGTCCGTTATACAGCTCACGTAATACGAAATTGATGCGCAACTCTCATTTACACGGCCTGCACGTGTTATCCGGACCGATAACTGGTGGACAAGAGAAGGACTGTGCAAGCGCATAATTCGTATGCAATATGCATAACGCAACCAGTGACGTATTTCATGAAAGCGAACAAAAACCGCGATATTCTGGACGGTAGCGCGATCGAACTTCGCGACCCCAAAAGCGTTTTTACAATCTACGAGAATAAAATCTGTTCCTGTAACGTCGAACACTGTATTTTCGCTGGTTCGCAAGGACAATTTCAAGCTGAATAAATAACTGTGCCGCATTAATTTTTTAATTAATTTACAAGCGAAGCTTCATAATAGGCTGTGACAAACATTTTCATTGTCGATAATACTCATAATTCGCAAAATGTTGACATATGAAATATGTATAAATACGCGAGTAATTGTATCTCGGGATTATAATGTATCAGCAATTGTGTCGCAAAATAATTCACGTAGAATTGTTATCATTCACGATTATTTTTGTTACAATTTGATAAGACTTCGGGCAAATTTTGATGTAAAAGGTCTGATCGAATAAATAATTTACTCGAAAAAAATTGTTGTCGATACGGGAAAGAATTGTGCGTGGGGGGAAAAAGAAACAGGAATTTCTACTCCGGAAATTGTGATCCACGCGATAAAGTTTCGTGCGCAAAATTTCGATGGCGATGAAAAAATTTCTTTGCATTCTAGCCAAGCCGCAGCTACGCGAGCAAAACTTTGACGTGTTTCTTGCAAGGTCCGTAATACATTGAATTCTACAGCAAGTAGCATTATATACATCTGACATACTTCAACATAGTTGCTGCTATTGCTGATTAACAAAAAAAACTATGCAACACGTACAACGATCCATTTTATAATGAAAGAAATACGTAATATATGACAATATATAACAATATATCAAACACAAAAAAAGTCTCATATATTTTTTCTAAAGTTATATAACTTAATATGCTTTACGATAATAAATAATATTATACGATTATATAATATCACATCCTAAATATGTAGAGAATATTTACATGTATAAAAATATCTTGATTTCAATATATATGTATAGTCTCGTTACATTTTTTTCTCGCGATAAATGTAGCGCAAAACACAGTATATAAAGATATTATAAATGTATGATCTTCTGATCTTGATTGCTGGTTTTTCATCGATGTGTTAAATCTTCCTAATTATTCTCTAAGTCTCCTCTCCGTATTCGTGACCTGCATGCTCTCTTGTACTAGTATGCTTCTGCATTATAACTCGTCGATCGATTTCATCGTTCGTCTGATAATTACGTAGGAGAATGTCTTCTTCCACAGGATTTAACGTATGCGGAGGGCGGTCACAATTGGCGGAGCATAATTTTCTCATTGTTGGTCATCGGCTTCGTTATCGCTGGCATCGTCACGGCAATTTATCTCCTCGGGTGAGTTCATAATATTTGGTGGTTCTTTCTTTTATATTTTAATTTCATATATTTATTGTACGTTATTGTCAATTAGAGAATATATACGTAATCAAATTCAAAGTGCTACAAAATTTGATGTGTGTTGATAATATGGAATTTAAATACATATTTTCTATATTATGCGTCTATACAATATACTGATAGTTTACAGTATTGGAAAGTTATTTGTCAAAACTAGCTAAATAATTCAATCAATTTATAAATAATTGATAAATTGCTTTATTAATAAACTTGTTTTGACAATTACAAGATTTTTACATATTTTATTTATTATTTTGTTATGCTTCCTGTAACTGTGTACAAAATTTAGATTACACTCATTTTATTGATTTTGATTTTCTTGAACTGTTTCTTACATTACCCATATAATATAATGATAATTTTTCTCATAATTAAATATATATAGCACATACAGTTCTATTTGTTTTTTCCAATCTTAAAAGATTCTTGAAAGAATCTTAAAAGATAGTTACGAAACATTTTTTGTTATAATGCTTTTAACACAAAGTGAACCAAATTATTATTCTACATAGCAGATAGTATAATGCAGAGTATAAAGAGATAATCTTTTTTCGCAATAATGTTTAAAAATGTATATTTTCAATTTTTCTCTTTTTCTCTCTCACGCAATATAATAATTATTCAGATACACACTAATTATTACTCAAGATACATTAATTATCATTCGTTTTTAATATTCCTTCGTCTTCTGTCCTATCCGTGATAATTCCATACCGAAAATACATAAAGTTACAATAATGACTTTTGTTTATATATGTAACAATTTGAAACAGATAATTATTCATTAATAAAATTACAGATACGTTGATGAGCTCTTATATTGGAGCGGCAGGCGTCTTACGTTGGACGAGTGCCTTCGTGATGACCTGACACCACACAGGTTACCACCAACCTGGATATCTCACGAAAAGTTTGTCTACCAAGCTGATGATGGTTCCCTTACTCTCTTGGACACTCGCTACAATAACGTGACCCTTTTAGTCTCTAATCATACACTTGTACGTATATATGTACACATACAGTCTGTTTGCATGGCCTTTACACTTGAATTACATAACGATAAACTTGCTCATGGTATTTGTGGCGACATGCTAGCCACAAATTTAATATAGATGCAAACTGATATTATATCACTATAGTAATAAATTTCTTTTATAAATTTATCTCGTTAAGATAAAAGGCAAAGATTATAAAACAATTATATACGTTAATTAATCTATGTTTATTTTATATGTTAAAATTTGGTATAAAATGCAATAAATGAAATTGCAATAAAATTTTTCGCAAATCAGACTTTAAAAATATAAATTGTGAGGCAAACAAACGAGTTAATGACCAAAAGATGAATTCTTATAGCACTGATTTACTATACATCTTTTCCAGATTAAATTTTTATATTAAATTTCTATTAATATAAAGCTAATAATTTAAAAAAACATGTAGAATTATTAAAAGGAAGGAAATTTTATTTATGGTTCGGAGAATCAGGAGAATTATTTATAATAATCAATTTTTTAACTTTCTTTCAGAGACAACTAAATGTTTTTAACTTTCTTTCAGAGACAACTAAATGTTCAAGGTTACGAGTGCAGTTCTGATCTACGTTATGTACTGTTCAGGCACAATGTCAAACCGGTAAGTAGCTTAGAGCTACGCAGAAGCTTCTCGGGGAAAGTTTTTCGGACGGCAGCTGCACTCTAACTTTACGATCTGCTTATCAGCAATGTTCAGCCGTGTAATACGGTGTAGCGCAGTTTAGTTGCAGTTAGCGATCGATTATCGCTATCGAGGAAACATTAATCTTTTACGCTATAAACTTTTATATGATTATTGTATTTTATATGATACAAATAATTAATTAGTGATTTATTATGCAGGTCTTTCGGAATACTTTCACTGCTCACTACACCGTTTACGATGTTACAAATGAGTAAGTGCATATCATGATTAAAATGTATGAGATATTGTTCTTAATTTCTCAAGTTTTTTTGAGAGAGAGATATGTACAGAGATATACACGATATATATTTTAAAAGTTAAAAAAGATATAATGTAAAGAATATGAGTATATCAAAAAATTGTGTCTTGTTTTATCTGTTCTTTTATAAATTATATTACAATCGCTTATTTGCTTATATAAAAAAATACTTGATCATTTTGAATACAAATCTCATTATCAAATCTGTTATTAATTAATAGATTATTGATAAATTGGTAAATCTTTAAATTGTTTTCACCTCCCCCCCCCGTAAACTCTTTACACGACAATATAAGTAAAATTACAAGAAAATTAAATTTAGCAATTGAAATAAGACTAGTGATAGAATAATATTGGATACAATAATTTAATTTGTAAGGACAAGTATTGAACTACACACAAACGGAACAAATTTAAAAATAAAGTCGGATAAAACATATGTTTTATAAAAAATTTTTAAACCTTTTTATTATCATATTTTGAATTAATCTTTAAAAAATGATATTCATATGTATTAAAAACGCACTATTAAAATTTGGATATTTGCATACAATTAATATCATGAATTCGTTTTTATGATCCCTCACTCGATAGCCATCATACGCCACTTCATTTGCAAGCATCGCGACGTATACCACAAACGCGACTGCAACATGCCACTTGGTTGGGCAACACATCGAGTCTCCTCATGATCTCCGAAAACGACATTTATCTTAGAATGGGGCCTGCGACAGAGGACATTCGTCTGACCGATACGGGTGTACCCGGAGTGATTTACAACGGCGTCCCCGACTGGTTGTATCAGGAAGAAGTGTTGCCGAAACCGCAAGCGACATGGCCCAGTTCAGATGGCACGCATATTCTTTACGCCACATTCAACGATACCAGAGTGAGCGCATTGGAATTTCCTTGGTTTGGTACGCAGCCAGGTCAAGACGGAACCGGTTCGAGTACTCTCGGCGTATCCAAATCCTTCCCGCCTTCCAGATCAATTAGATATCCGAGACCGGGTTCGCCCAATCCAGAAGTCGAATTGTGGGTGATGGATCTCGGGAATATGAGTTCGAATTATAGTGGCATCGGAAACATCACAACATCAGCGAAAACGAGACTGAAGCCGCCGTCGACTTTGAACGGACAGTATGTTAAATTATTTAATTGTAGAATTTCTTATGTCAATTGCTCAATAAGTAAGTAAGGAAGTAATTAAATGTTCGCTCTGAAATAAATTTAATAAAGATTGAAAAATATGGCAGAGTGTATCGCAGCCAATTTTATTTTGCAATGCCATGTATGTTGCCAATTTTATTTTGCAATCCCATGTATGTTGATGAAATCCGTTTCTGCGGAATATTTTCAGAGATTATTATCTGATATCAGCCGGTTGGGTCGGCGATAACGCTTCGCAAATTGCTGTCGTCTGGATGACAAGGATGCAAAATTTGTCGTTGATATCGGCCTGCCGCGCTCCTACGTGGGAATGCGAAGAAACCCACTCGGAAAGAGCGCCCGAAGGGTTGTGGCTGGATGCTCAACCGCATCCTCTCTTTGCTCCGGATGGCGATAGCTTCTTATTGCTGGCCACGGTACAGGAAGGCGACAAGGAGCATTTCACACATATAAAGCACATCACACTCACGCAACAGAGAATAGCGGTACTCTCTCACGGTCGTTACGAGGTGAGCAATTTTGAGGTTGTCGCGATGAGAAAGACGAGAGGAAAAGAAAAAAAAGATATACATATATAAAAGATAATTATAAAAATATTATATAAAGATGCGTACATAAGATGTGTATATAAGAATTTAGCAAAAACCTTTTCTAAAAAAAGAAATTAAAAAAAAAACAGGTAAGCGAGATCTTAGCATGGGACACCAAGAAGCATCTCGTGTACTATTTAGGCACCAGAGAGAAAAGACCTGGTCAGAGACATCTTTACGTGGTACGAGATCCCACTGCGGATGATCCTCGTCATTTCGAGCCGTTGTGCGTCACGTGTGATCTTGGGGAAGCTCTTTGGAGCAGTAGGCAAGTTTGATTCTTTCGTTCCAAAGATACGACGTGCCAAATCGATACAATTTATCGCGCATGTTTATACGAATACATCGATTGCAGGTTTTATTACACGAATTGCACGCATTTCGGTGCTTCTGTCAGTCCACCGATGGATGTCGATGGGCAAGGTTACTACGTGCTGTATTGCGAGGGTCCCGGCCTTCCTCTTGCTGGCGTGCACATGACGTCGTCGCACAGAATGGTCCGCGTGTTATACGACACGAGAATCCAACGTGCGGGCAAACTTTCAGAACTGGCACTGCCTACCAGAAGGAACTTTGAGGTGGATATCTGCCTATGTCTCGAGTCTTGAATCATCATTGATTCTATACATGTATATTTGATTCGCGAAATAATTTACAGGTGCCATTACCTCAAGGTTGGCGGGCGCAAGTGCAGCTATTGTTACCTCCGTCGTGGCGGGAGGAGCTGAGGGATGCGGCGTTCCCCGTGCTCGTTGAAGTAAACGGCCGTCCCGGTAGCGAGGCGGTCACCGATAAATTCCGGATAGATTGGGGAACGTACATGTCGAGTCATAATGACATTGTCTACGTGAGACTGGACGTACGCGGCGCCCGAGGTCAGGGGAAGAAGGATTTGTTTAGAAAAATAGGCGGTGTCGAGGTACAGGATCAGCTTACCGTGTTAAAACATCTTTTGAAGACGCATAAATATCTCGACGTCACCAGAGTCGGCGTCTGGGGATGGGGCTACGGTGGATACGTGACCGCTATGGTGCTCGGAAATCAGGAGAATGTCTTCAAGTGTGGCGTTGCGGTAAATCCAATTGCCGATTGGATGTATTACAGTACGTTTAAGATTTACAATTCGTTAAAAATAAATTGTATGCCAAATATAATATTTATAATATGCTCTCTCAAATTAAAAAATTGTTACGCTCGATTTAGAGAGAAAATTAGTAAATCGCTAATCGCTCCCTTTGACTGCAGATTCTGCATTTACGGAACGAGTCCTCGGCGCTCCGGCTGAGAACTATAAGGGTTACGTGGAAGCTGATCTAACGCAACGAGCGAAATTAGTACCTAGTCACAGCCTTTATGTCCTTCATGGTCTAGCTGACCTCACTGCGCCTTACATGCACGGCGTTGCCTTCGCTAAGGCTCTGTCCGAAGCGGGAGTCATCTTTAGATATCAGGTACGGGAAAGAAATGCGGAATATTTTCGTACGCTATAATATAATTATCGCTCAATTTGCCGCTTCTTTGGGAAACAGAGTTACGCGGACGAAGATCACGCCCTGACGGGGGTGCTCGAACACGCTTATCGTTCCATGGAGGACTTCCTCGCCGAGTGCCTCGCCCTGGATGCCTCCTAGTGCCTCAAGCCGAAAAATTCTTTGTTGTCTCTAGTGCGCCTACTTCCGATACATCCAAAACGAACGTTGAAACGAACACTTGTTTTCGAAATCACGGCAATTACACTCGTGAGCAGGATGACATCCTGAAAAAAAGCCTGAATCGTAAAATAAATCAGGCCGCTGAATAAAAACGTGAAGCGAGAGAAAAGCAGAAACGCGGTCGTTTATCCGAGAAGACTATCCGTAAGAGATAAAAGCAATGGCGTATATGCGAATTTACGCGGAAGAAAGATGGGAATCGACTCCATTGAAAGATTAAGGAGAAAGTGGCATTTGTAACCGAGCAATATCGTTATAATGTGTGTATTTCATTCATCTAGGGATTTCTCTTGGAGAACTCATCCATTTTTCTCTCGGGACGCGCAGTCCTCAGTGATATATATATGCATCGCCAAGTCGCGAGGAAATTTAGGAATCCTGAAAGATATTTGAGGAAAACGAGAAACGATAAATCCTCTTTTCTGCTTGGCAGTATTTTTGTATATTATCGAACGACGTCTCTCGCGCTTTTCACGTAGATTCGATATTCGATATAGTTCGATAATTCGTGAAATAATGTAAATTGTTATCGAACATGAATCTCTCATTTGCAAAGATTTGCAGTTTCGCGCGAGCGATTTGTTCGATAATAATGTATCGTCGTGACGTCGAAGAGATAAGCGCGCGTATTTGCCGTGAAATCGATTTTGGGCAAATTCCGAAAAGCGAAAGAAAAAGACGAAATGCGTGTTCGAAAAGTGCAGACCGAATTACTATGTGCGGAGCTTATCGACGGCTTGCAAATTCCTGGACGTAACGACAGCACAGCAACGACAGGAATGAGGTCGCGAAATCGACGTCGAGCAATTTGCAAGCTCGTCATTAACGTTTTGCTGTGTTCCAAGTCCTAAGGGCGTTCATATAGAAAGAGCCTGAGATTTCATAGAGCGACTAAAGACGCGATTATTACGATTCGAATAAGATTTTAACGTACAGAGCTTATTGGAAGTCTGCAAACTTGCATTTCTTTTTTGTATCTCATTTTTGCACGGAGTTTGTCAAATTATAGTACGTATACACGCGCGAAAAACGTATCTCGATAAGAGGAAAAATTCTTCCGCAAACTGCAATCGACACTTTTACGGCGGAATTGAAAACCCGGATTGAAAGTTTCAAATCAAATTACGTTTGTTCGAAAAGAGTTTGCAAGCTTCCGCGTCTCATGTTCTTCTTTTTAGCTACGTCACTGGTGCCTCCTCGATTTTAAACGAGGAAAAAAAAAAGTATCTAAGCCTATGCGGTGACGTTCGTCCACAGGCATCGACATATTTACCATTATATATATATAGGATCCGGACAGAGGGCTACTGTAAATTTTGTGTTGTACAGCTTGGCGCCTAGTTCTATACGTATCCCGACGCGTGAGAAGAAGTTGTTCCACCATTACGTCCTCCCATCTCGACCCGCCCCTCCTCCTTCCCTCTAATCCATTTGAATTTTGGATATTTGTACATACGTATACACCTATGAGAAATGTGAGGCTCCTTCGACGAGGTCTTGCGCTGATACCTAAGAGAAGTCGCGAGAGATTCAAAGACGAAACAAACGGTATAATCGGTACGGTGCGTACGTTTGTTTCTCCGAAATTCTCTCGACAAGATTTATAAAAATATACTTAGAGCATATATGTGAATTCGAATCTTATCGAAGGTGCAGATGTTAGACTCGTTGTATATCTTTTCGAGATAAATTAATCGATCCCGAATGGATGAACGATGAGGTATTAAACAGCCGATTATATATCTACTCGTGGAATCGTCATGATTAGCTGTTGATCATTGGTCAGACGCGACATTGGACGCGACTTCCGAGTATTGTATCGTTTCCTCGCCATGTTTTTGGACAGAACTGCAGAAGACGAAATATGACGAGACGTCGTACGCTTATTGTCACATGTATAAATCATTTCTACTACTGTTCCATCTATTGTGAGAAGCGAATACTCGGAAAAAAATCTGACCGTAATGTCGAAAACTAAACAGGATTCGTAAACGTTTCGAAAATATTTCTTTCCGGTCTTTACTATTAAGATTATATCTTTCACGTATATATATTTCAGAAATTGGAATGCAAAAATCGAAACCTTTCATTGCCTCTTGACGTCACGTTGACGTTTCATTTTGTGGAAACTTTATCAAATCGTAGATAATGTTCGAGACACCAATGTATATATTTAATTTCAAACGACACGTTTGTACATCTAATTTCGAATCGTTTGAAAAAAAAAAATTTTGCGAGTCCTTATAAATGTTAATTAGAGAAGAGGCGCGTTCGAATAAGGAAGAGTCGCACGTCGCTATATGTATGCTGCATGATCAGCAGCCCTTAAATGCCGACAATCAAGGCTAGTGCAACTAATCAAACGATAATAAATAGAGAAAAATGGAGAGAAAAGAAAGCTACTTAATAATTTTAATGAATACTCGTGAATGATCGCAATGGTTTGTGTGTAACGTAAATCGCGATGTGTGTGCGAAGTCTAGTATACCAAATTATCGTGGCCGAAAAGATTTTGCGAGAATAAAAGTAGACGCAAAGGGTCGTTAGAGAGATCGAGATGAAGTGCTCGCTGTCGACTGTAGAAAGTACAAAAATATATCGCCTAATGGAGGCTTCGGAAAATTCTCTGTTGCTTCGCTGGACAAGTTTAAAATGTCGTCAGCGAAAATTTGTTTAAATTTGTTTGTTTCACTATCTCCTTTTTTAACAAATATTTGTAATAAATTTTCAAATCAATGGGCAATACTGCATACAATATATAACAAGCATTATTCGACGAAACTCCTCCATTTCGCGACAAATGAAGGGCCGTTTGTAGTGCAAGAAAAAGTTTGTCGTTAAATATCGCTTCCATTTATTCCGGAATAAATATATACACGAGCGATTGAAATACAAATTGTTGAATGCAAGAGGAAGGGAGGGAGGGAGGGAGGGAGGGAGAGAGAGAGAGAGAGAGAGAGAGAGAGAGAGAGAGAGAGAGTGAGTGTGTGTGTATGTGTGTGAGAGAGAGAGTGAGAAAGAGAGCGACTAACTGAAATTGAAATGAAATAGGGAAGGAGGAGGAAAAAAGAAATAAAGATGGAGAGAATGAGATGATTGAAAGCGGGAGAGTATGTGCGTATGTAAAAAATTACAATCAATTATTAAACATAATAATGGCAGAAGAAAGTGAGAGGCAAATTAAATATAAGCATAAGGCAATGGAAAAAATATTATCATAAAAAGAGACACGCAACAAGCATGCGAGTTATGAAATTAATCGCAACAAAAAACCTTGGTAGCAGCGCGTAAGAATATCCATAGCTTTTGGTAAAACATATTATCGCCATTAGGCTAAAGAGGAAAAAAGCATAAAGATAAAGAAAAATATACTCATAATCATTGGGCGTACACAAAAATACATACACATACATCTACACACAACGCAACATATTAAAAAAAAAACAAAAAAAAAACAAAAAACAGGTAGTTCATGCGGAAATAAATATAAGAATTGGGCCCGTGCGAATGCATGAATAAATTCATGCGAATTATATACATTCGTTATATATATATATATATATATATATATATATATATATATATATATCGATCTAATGTCGATTGTCAAACAAAATACATCAATCTCCGATAATTTAGAAATTAGACTATATAAAAAAAACGTTAAATCATGTTTTCACTGATTCCTCATAAAAAAAATGAAAAAAATGAATAGTCTCGGTGCTTTTTCCGAATTTAAATTCTAGATAACTTTGGAATTTTTATCAATATTCGAGATTATATCGAAGTTCTTTTTAATAAGTATTAAATTTTCGTCATTTGACAATCGATCATACTAGCGACAGAAAACAAATTGACCTTTTGATGACGAGTGACTTTTTTTTCCAACGATTTATGATTCCAAACGAATTGCCCGCTCGAAATCGTGTGTGAAATTCGAAATGTTTAGAAAGGTTGTTTTTTATATCTATTTCATCAAAATGCTCGATTTACATTCGATATGATAGTCATGGATGTAGTTTGGAGTGCTTGATCGATTCTCGCTTTCGACTCGGAATGGATACGAAAGTAATTTATATTAGATTTTTGGCGATATTCGCACGGACTCCCCCTCCTCACTGCACCAAAATTATCCACGAAATCGACTAATCAGTAATTTATATCAATGTACTTGATGATGTCAAAAAATAAGTGATAATATGCAAAAACTATAATAAAAATATCTCTTTTGATCTGTTAAAAAAAACAAAATTTGTTAATATATCAAAGGAAAAGGTAATTAATAAAATGTTTCAAGGAGATTTGATATTGTATATTGTAGTTTATTTGCATAATTTTTTTGGCATGCTTATATATAACAGGTATCGGAGAGACGTATTATTCCGATATTTGTAATATTTTTATATTTGTAAAGTGTGTGTGTATTCATGGCTATTTCTTTCATTTGATACAATTAGATATTACAATATTGATCAAAATTTGGAAAAAAAAGCGAGAGAAAATTCAAATCTCTCTTTCTCTTATTACAATTTTCGAATAATTAAAATTAATTTGTTTATAAATTTATAACATGTCGTCGATTTCGCGGATAATATCCAAGTTATCTTACCACGTAATACCTACGAAGTAATCATGTTATTAAGATTCTGCGTTTTTTAATATCAGCGAGGCTCGGCCCGGACATTGGGCGGATAAAGTGTTTTCAATAAACTGTTACATTATATATATATATATTATCTGAAAAATAGTCTTGATTTATTTATCATTTACTTTCTTTTTGTTACAGTTTTGATGGACAACTTTTAATAGCACAAAAAGTTAAAATTAAAATATCGAAAGATTGCAGATTTAAGAAATTATAACTTTTTTTAACAAAAAAAGATATAGTATATATGAGTTTGTTTTATAACAGTGTGCGTATATCTATAGTTTGTGATGCCATGAAATAGCAATGAAACTTTTTTCAGAAAAGGCATTAGTCAACATTTAAAGCGAGAATACTGTTTGAAATATATAACACATATTTTTATTATAAAAGATTTAACAATTTTTTCTCTCTTTTTTTTTGATAAAAAGAAACAATAATAACTTTATAGAATTAATCTCAGCTAGACATTTTTGTGTCAAGCTTATAACAAAATTTCTAATTATATAGAAAGAAAGAACGATTATTTTAAATATATTAGATAATATTAAAAAGAAGGATATTTTATTTTATATATATTTCTCGCTATTTATTTTGTAAGGCAAATATGTTGTCGTAAGAAAGTTTTGTGTAAAGGAAAATGCCTCTATATCTGCCTTGCCTTTTCGCAATATATTCAACTCCTTCAATATAGTATCATTTACGCAAGTCCGGGTTTCAATGGATTTCAATTTCACGAAATCGACCTTAGTAAGCGAAATTGTCTTCACTCCGAAAATAATTGATTCCGAGGGATGGATTCCGAGCCAGCGTGCATTAGGGCAAGCCAAGCTTTCATTTTGTCTACAAAGTATCGACGAGCCAAAGCTATAACAAATCAATATAACATTGCAAAAATAAAAAATTATATAAAGAATGTACATTTTCCGAAAAAAATTCCGCTAAAAAGCGACAATGATTTGAATTAAATTACCGATAAAGTAACATAATATCCACGCCAAAAGGATCCGCGTCTACGATTATATAAACCGGTAGACTCATCTTTTCAGATAGGATATTAACCAACATTCTGGTATTTAAATCTGGATAGCCCTTTCCTGTCACTAGAATACATTTTAAGATACGAGAGCAGTCTTCTTCAAGTAATTTTTGAAAAATCGCATCTTTCTCAATAACTAACACAAAGTTGGCTTTCACGCAAATTGAAGTTACATTTAAAGTAATCTGTGGGATCTGCACACCACCTACTATCGCACAATCGATAACTCGATTGTCGAGTAGGGTGATCGTCATATTTCCTGCCACTAATCCTTTAGGCGTTGCTAACAATCCTGAAAAGATTTTTGGTTACCGATCTCTCTTCATTTCCTTTTGTATTTATTATTAAATTATTTAATATAAACAATTTTTATATTTTTTAATTTATATATTAGTAAATATTTATGCGAGGTTTTTCACTTAAATTTTTAATTAAATAATAAACGCAAATACAATTTCACAAACTTACTCAAATCCCATGGGGCGCATTCTAATAAATTAGCAACACTATTTACTGCACAATCGATAGATCTTTGATGAGGCATCAAACGTTTGGTTATTTCATTCTTCAAATCATAGTAAAATGATCGTTTCGTCTTGGTTGTGTTTGTTAACAACAAACGATGGGCCTCGGACATTATCATCATCATTAGAATAAACTTATTTCTGCTGTTTTTCATCGCAAAATCGACAATCATCTTTTTTAAATTTTGAAAGTTATTTTCTTTTCTCTGTTCCCTGTTTTCTGCGTTTTGTTTATCGATAAAGTCAAACAAACAATCATTCGGCAATACATTAGATTGAAGATTGGATTGGCATATTGCGCCAACGTTTTTTTTCAGTAAACTGGATTCTGTAGCAGAGTTTCGATTGCTGCAGAACGATATACACGGTAGTTGTCCAGCAGATATCTGCTTTATTATTTTTAATGTAACAGTTTCGATGCGCGCGATTAAATCCATTCTGCAAGTTGCATGTAAGAAATGCCAGATATGATGTGTTTTAAGTTTATATGTATGTGAATTTAAGTTTATATATTTGCAAATATATATAATATATAGAATATAAATATAATAATAGCAGCTAGAAAAAAAGATGATTCACCTGAATTCTTTATTGTCGACTATCGGTATATCAATACGTATTTCCTCGAGACTCATATATTTTTTGGTAGTTGATATAATTGTTTGCCTCTGAAATATTTCACTTGCGTTTTGCATTTTATCTAAATTTAAAAAAATACTCTTTAAATAAATTAAACAAATTAAGTAACGAAATTATATTTCATACAGTTTAGAATAAATCATCCAACTCTTTTGTACAGGATTGCTCTATAGAAAAATAAATAATAGAAAATGCAAAAGAGATAAGTATATGAAATTATTATTTATCTGATATTGAAACTGTAATATCTTTTACAGATTCATTAATTCAATTTTAGTTCTTCTTTCTGTTAACAGATGACTTTAGCTTGTACACAACAGACTTGTACAGAAATCGTTCCTATCGATACAACTAGAAAGAAAAACAATTTTTCTTATAGGTATAGTAATAATAATAATAATTATTATTATAATATAACAATAATAATAATAATAATAATAATAATAATAACAATAATAAATTATTGTTATTATTATTAACAATTATAATAATAATTATTATTATTGCAGTCACATTTGCTATTCAACTATTAAAAAAAATATTTCAAAGCTGCATTTTTGCAGCTTTACAGATTATAGTTTTACATAAATATATAAAAGATAAAGATTAAATTCTTAGCTTTTAAAGATTACTATTTTTGTGAGTTTAAGATCATAAACGACTTACAAAGTTTCTTTACAGTAAAATGACAAGATAAGAAAATACAAGAAGAAAATGAAGTGAGTTTACAAAAAGTGAATAACAAATGCCGATGATGATTATGATATTAATTAATTTAAAATTTAAATTAAAGTGTTCAAATATTATCATGATGTAATAAAAAATATGCGTAAATTATATGTATATAATATTTTTACGAAAAAAAATCATTTAGTAATTTAATTAATTCCATTAGTAAGAAATATCTATTGTCAAACAATTAATTTTTATCGATTTTGTTTGCTTTGCATAAGAAGCATTTATATAATTTGCATAAAGTCGCATAAAATAAATGGAAATATCAAACATCTAGTGTAACAAGGCGGTATAAAAAATGGTGACACTGAAAAAAAATACATCATTACAGTTAGAGATGAAAGAGGAGAATTCGTTTTTCACTCATTCGTCGTTGTTACGAGACCGAGTTAAAAGGTGCGATGGCAGATAGAAATCTAGTACCTATCCGAGGCTGACATTCTCACAGCAATAAACATATTAAGTCCCGATACGTGAGGTAAAGTATTGGCTGCAAGGACTCGTTCGAGCTTGTAGCCATGTAGACATTAATTTTTCTCTCGATCACCGACATTCATATCAAAGTGGCGAATCTCGAGAGAGCCCGGACACCCCGCTGCGTATTTGTGAGCACCGACCATTGAATGGCGCGCTACTGTACGCGTTAAAGATACTTCAGAGACTTATTGTGAGTACGAAATACATCCCTTACTGCAAAACGTTCGATTGTAACGAAATTTAGCGAATCCGTCGTCATTTGGCTGGAAAACCGCACAAGAGAACGATCGTGGCAATTAGCCACAGTTCAAGTTACAAGATTCACGTTTTTGAAATCTATAAGAGAAATCTTTGAAATTTATTACAACGATAATTATATTTGAAAAAATTTAATACATGAATGCACTCACACACACACACACACGCGCGCGCGCGCGCGCGTGTGTGATAATATTAGTATTCAGTCTACATTATTATTTTAACTAAACGTCAAATGGAATATATTTAAAAAGTGTCTATATGAAAAACCGATTTAGGTAAAAAGCTGCGATGAAAGTAAAATAAAATGAAATAATGAGCATTAGAAGAGCCCTATCCCATATAAATTTCCCTAGTCTATGACATGCGTCGATGCAAACGTTTGTGCAAATGGGGAACAATGAATACTAACGAGCGACTGTGAGATGATACATTCAAAATATTTCCAGACTCATAACAAATAATCTGACGAAAATAAATTGACTATAATTTGAATAAATTTATAATAAACTTGCAGAAATACAGTTTTGGCTAAATTAAAGAATATCGATGTAAATTAATAAGCGTCAGCCATATACGCGAACAAAAGTGAAATACCATCTTAAAGTTCCGGCCTCTTAGATGCTCATAACGAGAATATTCATGAAAAAAAATAATAGAAGGCGGCAAGCATGCTCACACTCGGTTTTGCATTAAAGACACTTCAAGGTTGCGCTGTTACAAAAGGGGATAGTGTTACATTGTGCAACGAGCACAGTGGAGAAACACCCCTAAGAATGCCCTCTCGCTAGCTCTCAAATAGCCCGTATATAACCAACACGCGTCGTTGGCATGTTTTTCAAATGTTAGTTGAAGACGGAAAAGAGATTATGAAAAATATGATATATAATTATAATAATTATAAATCTTTGAATACACAAACGTATTTCGTCAGATTAATAAGTAGAATAATGTACAAAAGATTGTCCAAGACTTTTTCAAAAAGAGACATAGGAATGTTTCATTGCATATGATGGGAGCATTGAAACTTTCCGTGCAAAAATTCCTTAATTGAACTTCGATACATTAAATGGTACAAATATATGGAAGAAAAGAAAGAGGTGAAATCATAGATGGGTAAATATGGAATTGTATGAATTTCAATACTGGTAATTTTCTCGATTTTAAAAGCTTTCTTCGGTTTGAATTTAGGTGAATTTGAATAAAATATTCGATCTAAATATCGATTGATGTGTCACATACCTGTCGCATGTCAACTAGTTTCTTTTTATTGAAGGTTTATTGAAGGTTTATTGAAGGGATGTTTGAAATTCAATGCATCAAGCATAAATGCTTGACGTATTTCGAACATCCCTGACCTTCAATAAAGCATAAATCCCTGAAATACCTTTTGAATATTATTTAAAAATGTAAGATTACGTGTAAATGCTACGGATGAGCAGTGAATCGACAATGTTTAGAAAACTCCAGTCTATTCAGAAAATTGTAACCGAAGTTTTTGATCAAGACGTCGGGAGAGATCGAATCTCTTCTTTATTTGCTTCTTCATGTGTACAAGGCAGATTTTTAAAGATAACATCGAATTTGTCCAAACAGGAGGGATCGCGACTGCGAAGCAATAGGGATTGACTAACGTACAAATTTAGAAGCAGTAAAACTCGAAGGGTGACTATAAGTCAAATTTTTATTTCCCTTCAATATTTAACATATTTACATTATTTGAAAATTAGTAAAAAATATTTTAAAAGTATTTTCATATTTATTTTAATTTTACCGAGCGCGCGCAGACCAGAACAAAATCTTAAATTTTGCAGATTGGAGGTATTTGGCGTAATTTTCCAATTTTCCTAACACAGATGCGAATGGTCGATTGATTCTAAGTATACTTGAAAAGACTACTTGAATGCGCCGCGGTTTTCGAGGGATCTAACGACGTTATTGTAGCAACCGCTGTTTCACACACTATAAAGAGGGTTGATGTGCGATAAGTACTTGACTTAAATGTGAGCTTGGGAAAGTTTTTCACTTAAATGATTGTCTCCCATCACGCGACACTATTTAAATGATCTGCCCCATCAAAAACTTTGAATTTCATTTGTTTTCTCTAAACTACTATTTTCTAAAAGCTATGCGTGAATAAAATATCTTTGAAATTACGTTTTTCGCGGCAAGGCTTTTCGAGTCAATTAAAATCTTTCGAAAAGATGCGCCGATTACAAGCCAATCAGTGGATAAAGAAAATAATTTCATCCAAAGATATCACATGTCAGTTTGATGTTAATAATCACTTAACACGAACACTGTTGTTTTTTAAATGTAACATTTATTAATCAACCGGCTAAGTAAGACCTTTGCGTGTATTCGATGCTTTATTATATGTCAAATGTTTTCACGATCGTTCTGAAAAGAAAAAGAAACGAATGTAACATCTCAAGGATGTCAAAGGATGGAAAAAAATAACAGAAGGTTATCATGAAAAGTTAACGACTTGACAGTAATGTGTTTTGGACCGAAGTTGTCCAAGCTGTGTTTATGTGTGTCAGTCACTGGACTGTTAATTATAGATCAGTTGTACGAGAGAAAGTGATTTGATCAGTCAATCACCAATTAATGGTATAATATATAATGCTATAAATAAAATTGCAAAAGAAATAATTTTTAAAGATATTTTCCGAAAAATATTATATTGATGCACATGTGTATCAAAAAATCTACATGTATTTTATAAGATTTTTTTTATCAAAAAATAAAATAATTGGTTCATAAATTAATTATTGACTGATACTATTTGCGGTGAAATGGCGATTGTTATGTCATATGTGCGCCTCATTAATTGAAATAAATTTTATTCCAATTTTTTTGGCAAATTTCTTGGCAGAAAAAAAAATTTAATTTACAAAGAAATCATCGATCACACGATCGACTCGCTTTCCGTTCATCTTCCGTCGCCTACGATCGAGACTTGTCTACGCGCTAATAAAGCATTCAATTATTTTATATGTAATGGCAAAGTAGTTAGTCAATTGCAGGTCAGTTTAGAAATTATATTTATATTATTTTCATTTATATCATATTCAAATTATTGGAATCCGCGCCTTGCTGTACAAAAACTGTGACGTTAAATCTTGCAATTTTTATTTGCATCATTTAAACATTGATATCGTTATACGAGGATTATGCTTAATTATACAGGTATAAAAAACATGCTTAATTATATACATAAAAAAAACACATATGAGCACGCGCGTGCAATTTATGCACGCATATACATTTATTACAGAATAATAAAAAGGCGTTACATAATTAATTTAAAATGTACTTATTTGGACAGTTTTCAATTTATGTAATTTTTTTGTGGATTATATTATAATGATTTATTCTCCCAATGCATTGTAATGCTGATGATTTGTAATTATATATAAAAAACAATTATGCAATTATGCAACGCTTTAATATAAAGGTATAAAATAGGCGTAAAAGTGCACGTTTATGCGTCCCGTTCGCGAGCTAATAAAAGTTCAATGTATGTGCCACATGATGAGGCAGTTTGCAGCTGCTGGCTTTTTTCCGCGCGCAGAATTTTTCG